GAGCAATGAAGGCTTCTAATGGCCACTCAACACGAACGCGGCTTTCGGGCGCCACAAAACAACACGTTTCGAATTGATTTATTTAGAGTTGCCGACCCAAAAGTTCAAAAATCTCCCTTTGAAAACCATTAAGACTCACTGGATACCGCTGATGGCTTCTGGTTCTCCAAAGGACCTCTGAGTGCTGCTCAGTAGTATCATAAAGCTTCGCGAACGTTGTTTTCGAGCATCAATGTTCTTAACTACTAATGCCAGTTCTTTAAAGGCTCTTTGAGTCAGGCTCAATAGTATGCCAGTGCTGGAAAGGGGCTTTGGGTGCGAAAGGTTCAGTTGCACATTAAAGCTGCAGGAAATGCGTCTATTTCATTTTAAGTTATTATCTGCTATCAGCGTTTTCTCAATAGTATCAGAAAATCTCGCAAATTGTTTTATTTGCGTTTAGAGTCCTGTACTTATATATCACTGTTCCCTAGGCTTTATTTGCGCCTTCTATTTATACTGGCTCAGAAAGGGTCTCCGAGTCATGCTCAGCAGTATATTAGTGCTTCAGAAAGGGGGTTTACTTGCATTTGGAGCACTAAAGCTGTCGAAGCATGCTCAATAGTATGTTAGAGCTTTTGAAAATGTTCTATTTGCGTTTGAAGCAAGTCAGTCAGCAGAGAATCCTTTGAATATTGAAACTTTTGAGCCTGTTAAGTTAAAATTAAGCTTCATGAAAGTCTCGTGATAATGACACCTCAATGCGTTTTTGAGCAGAAGAACTTCTAGTACTTTGCAAACATTTTTCTCATCTTGGTATCCTTCCAAACAGCTGCAGAGCATTTTGGGAAACTCTACTTGGAAACAATAATATTAGAGCCTCTAAAAGGCCATCTTCAACTGCCATGGGATTTTTTATGTAACCACTTGTGTTGCATTTACCTTTTGCCTTTCATGGCTTCAAAACGGGAAAATGCACCATTTTGCTTGAAAAAAACTGGGACAGATGTGCCAACAAACGCACACAGCAGCTGTTAGAGCTTTATCGGAGCGGGATCGGTTTTATAATGGCGATTTTCGTTAACAATCGCGGACGGTTTCATATCTTTTAGACCCAAACGGTGGCAAGAAAGCGTCCAACGACTATGATGGATTCGGCCCTAATACTTGCTGGTGACCCAGTTTCTTTCCATCGGTACCGCTGCTGGTAATAATCTAGATTATTTTATTTTAATGATGCTGAGGCATACAAAAAATTAATTGTTATTATCCGCCTATGTGTGTCCCAGACCGGACCACACCGTAATTAGAACCACTCTTTTCCTGTAGCCTGTTAAAGTATTGTTTCACTTGCGTGATTCGTACGATCTTTCTAAGGTACCACCGCAATGATTCACTCAATCTTGAATGGGAATTGAGTCAGATTTCTTGTTCACATTGTGCGATTAGTCATTAGTGCGCCGAGTTTAATGCTAAAGGAAGTTGTACACATTACGATAGTAAGAAATGAGTAAAACCGTAAAATAACCTTCCTTAATAATTGCAATGACATTTGCAATGATTTATTATATTGTTCTCCGGTGCCACGCCTTTTTCGGGAAATGAAATCGGATCGATGGTGCAGCCCAAATAATCATTATTCCCGGCATTCTTTCGCAAATTTTTCCGATCTCAAATGAGCAATCGCCATCGGAAGATTGATGCGAATTTTAAACGAAGCTTCATTGATATTCGGTTGCAGTCGTTAAGTAGTGGGTACGGCCATCATTTGTGGTGCTGAATGCAAACTAACCAGGCTGGCGCCTGGGAAATCGTTATTATTTGGATTGGTTGCTTCCATAAAAAAATCTGGTCGTCTCCTCACCTTTGGCCCGGCTGCTATTAAGCTGGTGTCGTCTGTGACATAAATGCTCGCTCACTTTGATGAGCTCAATTGGCGCTTTTAGAGTGATTTCAGGCGGCTCAAATGCACCTTTCTTATGGAAAAATGGCCTGGAAAGCAGACAGAATCTGCATACTGATTGTTTTTTTATTTGAGCAAGTTGCCATTTAGTTCATTATTCCTGGCATTTATTTGGGACGTTTGAAATTTGGAGTTAGGAACGCAGTCAAAAGGCGCCTCTTCACATATTCCACTGAAAATGTAGTATTTTTCTTCATTTAAAGTGGGACAAAAAAAATTTTTGGGCCTTATAAATGAAGAAAAGATCAGATTTTTCAATGGAAGATGTGAACAAGGTTGCGTTCCTATTTTGAAAGTTTTAAATGCCGTGTACATTTTTCGCCATTTTTGGTAATGTTTTTGCTTTTTCGAAGCCCACAAATTGCCCATTTTGATTTCTGCTGCGTTCCTATTTTGCCAATCATCAATTGATACAGATTATATTGATTTTGCAAATTCCAAGCGGGTTTTTGACCCTTTAAACTTGTGGAGAAACGTTTGACTATGGTTCTAATTTTTTTGGAAATTCGCTTAAAACGTGCGGTACCAAACTGCTGCTCTTCGGCTATGTTCTCAATTACTGCATGGTAAATTTGGCAAATTTAGAGTTTCAACGATTTCCACTCTTTAAAAAACTGTGTTCTTGATTTTCTAATTTAATCTTATTCGGATACGTTTTTTCTTTCAAATGCACGATTTTTACCACTAGAACTGTGAAAAAAATCAGCGACTGCATTGTTTTGCTCAAATACTAATCATCCTTTGACGGTTTGGTCTTTTGGAAGCACTCAAGTCTTCCATTTCTATATTATTTCAGTTTCTGCTGCGTTCCCAATTTCCAAATTATCAACTACTTGTTGTCGGCCTGCTTTTCCTCTGGAAGGCACAAACAATGCAAACTGCCTGCTTTCTGCTGTTTTTGTTTCGCCAAATTTTCAGGCAAATTATTGCATTTTTTTTCAAAGGCTTTGAAATTTAACGATTTTTGGCTTCAATTGTGTGATATAAGACCACTGCTTGCTGACTGTGTTCTCAATTTCCAGATTGTAAATCGGATTATTTGACAATTTTGGAGAAAAATATTGAGCTCTTGGAATCCCTAAATTCTTTAGACTAATTTGTTCTTTCCTTGGACTATTTTGTCCTTTTTCAGAAGTTTTGTCTCTTGGAAGCTCTCACGGTTTTTATTTGTATCTCGCGTTCGATTTCGACTGCGTTCCGAATTTCCAAATTATCACAAGCCTGCTGTGGAATCTTTCAAACCTAATACTGTAAATATGAAATGATCGATTCTTGGTCTTAATAGTGAGAATTCAAACCACTGCTTTTCATGTTTTTCCTCTTGACTGTGTTCTCAATTGCTTTACATTCTAAATAAGATGGTGGTTATTTGCCAATTTTAGAAGAAATTTTTGAGCAATTGTGTTTGGTTTGGACTGTGTTCCTGATTCTCCCAATTAGAAATCGAGGATTATTGAGAGTGCGACCGAGTCTTGCCTTCAAAGGGACGAAGTGGGCGATTTTTTTCGGACAATTTGGTTGCTTTCTTTGAGGTTTGTCAACTTTTAAGGATTCGTTAGGGGTTTTGTCTCTTGGACGCTCTCAAAACGTTCATTGCCATCCATCAAGCAGAAGAAATGAATCATTGTTGTATCTGTTGCGTTCCTTGTTTGCAAAGAAAGGAAAAATATCCAGAATAAAATGCAGGATTTTTTGTAATATTTTCTCTGACTGTGTTTTCAATTGCCAGATCGTGAATCACCGGATTTTGACATTGAGAAATATGGCAATTTTTGAGGGAACTTTGTCTTTTGTAACCCTTAATGCCCAAATTATCAACTGAAAAAATATCGAGAAAAAACTGTCTTGACTTCTGAAATTTTGTACGTTACTGAAATTATCAGGCAAATTACTGTATTTTTTCCAAGACGGTTTAAACAAGCCGTGCACTTGGGGCTGTTTTGTGCTTGCTGATAAACTCTTGCAATTTAAAGATTTTTGGGTTCAATAGAACCGTTGCTCTCTGACTGGCTTCTCAATTGCTAGATCGTAAATCACCGGATTATATAACAATTTTTGAGTAAAATGTTGAGCAAGTTTGTGTTTTGGAAGCCTTAAAATCCATACATCTATCAAGCAGAAGCGATACTCAAATCGTTATCACTTCTTCAAATTGCGGAGAAAAACACGCAAAATAAGCGTCCTTTTCGATCATCTGACTGCGTTCCTAATTTACCGCTTCTAAACAGCAGGTTCTGGTCGAATTTTAGCGTTGACTGGCTTGGGCTGCCAGTTGAACTCAATTAATTAATCAAACATTCAGACGAAACCTATGAAAACGCCATTTAGCATACTTGGGACATGAAAAAAAATCCCATCGCGCTTTTAACCATAAAGTTGCGGCTTGGACCAATTGTAGCAGGAATTCGAAGGCTTTGTTCGCGCTAATTGTCGCAATTAGACGCTGTGGTTCCATGTTAAGGCATAGAAAATCGACGAATTATTGTTTGTTGCTTCACGGGTTCTGGGAAAATTGGAAATCGACCGATAGACACGTAACGAAGCCATTGCGTAACATTTACGGGTCAAAAATCAAATCTTTTCAGGTAAAAGAATCCACGCTTCTTGGCCATTAAGGCTGGTATTCAAGCCCCAACTTTAGGGCTTGAATTGAGCGTGTTCCAGGGAGAATGGCGCTTCTGATGAGTTTCGTCTTTCGGGGAATTTTACTTCAAATATTTGCACTTTTGGCCTGGCTGGAATGTAACAGCAGCTAATCAGACGACTAAAGGTTATCCTGTTTTGCACATCGGCTTATTTACATATTTTCGACGGTTTGCCTTATCGTCGCTGGCAATAACGCTAAAATTCGGCAGTTAAAATGCAGGAATTCCAAGCCTCACCTCAACCACTCGGCTCTCAGAGCCAAACAAGTTTGTCTTCGAAAAATGTATTATTTATTCCTAACTTCGTGAATGAACACTGAACTGGTTTAGTGTGCAATTGTGCACAAGCCAGGATGTGGTGGGCGCAGCGCGAAAAATTGCCCTCAATGAGCAGTTTTCTGTCCAAAACCTACCTTGGACAGTGTGGGGGAACGTTTCCAGACTGGAATGATATCCAAAGCTGTGGCACAATAAGAACGATAAGCACAACACCAGAAGTCGCACAACCGGAATACGCGAACGTTGCTTAGAACTGCCGGGTCGCTATCGTTTGTCGTCGCAGCCAAAACAGAACAGCGTAGACGCGGCGGAAGAGTGGCGAACAGGAGGATTGAGAGCCCGCGCAAAATCCGCCGGCTCCGGAGCCCTCGAGTGGGCCGAGTGGGGCCCGAGACACGTCATCGCGGTCTTTGGGCGAATGCCATTCATGCGACCAGGCCTGCACCTAACAAATCACCCCCTTTTTCAATCTGTTTTTTGTTGCATTACATTTTTCCCTTCTGATTGAGCTGCAGATTTGCGTTTGGAGCAGTTTTGTAGAGAAGAGCGTCTTGTTTATGCCCTGAAAGTTTTGTTTTTGTGGCATATTGAACATTTTATTTTTGTCGCTTCATCAGGGCTTTTTTGTAGATTTTTCAAAATTTTTGTTGCGCTCCTCTGCAAGCTCTGAAAGTTTCGGTTTTGTCTCATCATCAGGAAAATTTTGAGAAGTTTTGTACTTCATTCCTGATGATTTTGGGAAAGATTTTGATTTGTTTGCGTTAGCATCGACTGTTTCTGTCTCGAAGATTGGCTGTTTGTGCCTTCATTAGGGATTTTTTGCACATTTTTCAAATTTTATCAAGTTTTTTGCTGCGCCCTTCTACAAGGGCTCTTTATAAATTATTTGCCTCTACTGATGCGGCTAAAGATCTCCATCCAAAAAATCGATTTGGGCATTTTTGGCACTTGGCATTTTCTACAGAATTGATTTTCAAAATTAATTCCTTCTATACTGAAAAAGCTGGAAGCGTGGGTTTATTGGCATTAAGTAGGGCAAAGTCGACTGTATGTGCGCTAAGAGTTAAATTTTTTCGGCATCGTTAGGGGATTTTTGAGAATTTTTCAAAAGTTTCTTGCTGCATGGATTATTTTCCTCCTGAGTTAGCTGGATACTTGCGGGTGGAGCAATTTTGTAGAGCAGAGCTCGTTGTGTATACCATGAAAGTTTCGATTTTGTGGCATCTTCAGGAAATTTTAGAGAAGTTTTCTAGTTCATCACAGATTTTAGGCCGGTTTTCTAGGTGACTATTTTGGGAAAAAGTTAGCTGATTGAAAGTTTTATTTTTGTCGCTTCATCAGGAATTTTTTGCGAATTTTTCAAAATGTATCAAGTTTTTTGTGCGCTTTTCAGCAAGCTCTGAAAGTTTCGCTTTTGTGTTTCATCGGGAAAGTTTTGAGAGAAGTTTTCTAATTCACTTAGACCGCTTTTCCAAGTGAAGATTTTGGGAAAGAATTGGGTTTGTTTGGGTTGACATCGGTTGGCATCTTGAAAGTTGTCGCTTTGTGCCTTCATCAGGGTTTTTTTGGGCATTTTTTGTTTCTATGGTATCATCAGGGATTTTTTGAGAAATTTTCACATCTCATCAAGTTCTTGGCTCCATTTAGAATGACTTTCAAACTGAGCACGCTAGAGACTTAAACTGAGCGATATTTTGTAGAGCACATTTCGTTCTAAGCGCTTTGAAAGTTTCGTTTTTGTGGCATCATCAGAGATTTTTTTACAAATTTTTAAATTTTTTAATTCCGCTGTCATAAAAAGGCTCTCTTGAGAAATTAATTGACTCCATGCAGGTAAAGACAGATACTTCAACCTAGCGGCATTTTGTAGAGCAGGCTCGGTTGTAAATTCTGTAAAAATTTCGGTTTAGTGACATCCTCAGGGATTTTTTCAGTAATTTGCAAAGTCCATCATTTTTCTGCCGCTCTTCTACAAGGGCGCTCTATAGAAATCAATTGTTTGCATCGTGATAGAGCTTGCTTGCGCTTAGTGATATGTGGTAGAGCACAGTCGGTTGGATATGTGATGAAAGTTTCGATTTACTGCAATCCTCGGAAATTTTTTCAGAAAAGTTTTAATTTGCTTAGTTTTTTGGGCATTTTAGGCACCGCTTTTTACAGGGATATTTTCAAAAATGAATTCCTTCCGTACTGGAAAAAGCTGAAAACGTGGGTTCAACGACTTGAAATAGGGCAAAGTGGACTGTATATGCGCGAATGGTTTCGTTTCTATGGCATCATCAGGGGAATTTTGACAAATTTTCTGATCTTCCTCCCTTCAGCAAACCATTTCTTCTACACTGATAAAACTGCGGAAGAGTCTTGAGCTTTTGGGCTTGGGATTTTATCGAGTTTGTCTGTTTTTCTATCTAGTGAAAGTTTGAACTTTTCTCAGATGTTCAACAAATTCTTTTTGCCCCATTTTCTAGAAATCAACATCCTAAAAAACTCTAGTAAATGGCGTGCAGAAAAAATGCAGAAAATTGTTAAATAGAATCAAAGGAGACGGCCTCTGATAAGCTTGAATCCTTGGCTAAATCGGTCGATTCTGTTGGAATATCCCCTGCCTGGCAGGCAGGCAGGTAAATATCTTCTATTTCCTCCACGGTGTAAGCGAAGAGCGTACGGAAGCAACCAACATCTGTCTGTACAGTTAGAGGGTGATTCAATTGGTTGTCGAGCGCGCTAATTGAGTTTTGCATATTTTTCCCATTCAAACGCAACAACAAATACGAATTAGCATAAACAACGTGTGTTGTTGGGCTAAGACAACATTGTGAACAGGCCGAGGACGTATTGTTGAAGTGAAAAATCCAAATGGGTGACGTCAAAGTGCCAAGGTAACATCATCAAGCTTTCTAGAAGGCGACATTTCTTACCAGAACGTCTAATAGTCCATCTTCTTCTGGCTAATGCCGCAACTTCGATCGGTTTACAAGCATTATTTATCGATATTAGTTATGATCATCGCATGCAACTTTATATAGAAAGTTATGCTGTTTTAATGTATTTATAGCGCTCGGCGATCGCTAATAGCTACTTATTACGGTTTTCAACAAAGACTAAGTGGTCTTTAGTTTATGCATGAAGGATATTTTCAATTTACGACACCACGATTATTAACGTCTTGGGCTCAACTAACTGTAAACCGTTTTGTTTTTCGCTCTGCTAGACAACTTGTACGTGCATCCGTTTAAGTCACTCCTGATGATGGTGCAGCATCACTAAGAATTCACATCCGAATCAGAAATGTTTCTTGAAAAGTTTTTCGCCTTTTGGTTTCTTCCATTCTGATGAAGCTGGAGACTCGTGCTCTGAAAGTTTTCATCAGGGGATTTCTGAGCATTTTCAAACTCTATCACGAGGCCTTATTTTAGCAATAAATTGCTTCCATTCTGATAGAGCTACCATCGGTGTAGGCTTGGAAGCTTTCGGTTTAGTGGCATAATCAGGCAATTTTTGAGAAATTTTTAACTTTGGCTCGCCGTTCTTCCACAGGGCTCGCTTTTGGAATAAATTTCCACCATTTTGATAGATATTTGCGTCTAACCAAATTTTGTAGAATAGAGTCAGTTGTATAGAGCCTGAAAAATTTTCGAGTTTTTGACTCTGCTCCTGTACACAGGCTCTCTTTAATAATGCATTGTAGAGGGGCTGGAGACTCGCCTATAGGGATTTAGAGAGGTTTAGAGCGCAGTCGGTTGCATATGCTCTGAAAGTTTCGGTTCAGTGACATCATTAGCGATTTTTTGAGAATTTTTTTGGCCCTTGTTATTGATTTAATCATATTTTAACTTCGTTTTTCTACTGTGAAAAAAGCTTTTAAGGAATCTCTCAAAATTTTGCATTTCTCTTCAGTCTACATTCATTTTTGTATTGGTCGAGAAACTGCAGTTAAAACATTTTTTGAAGAAACCGCATTCCCTGCATATAATTTAGTTAATTCTTCAAAGAAGTGAAGCAAATATGGAAGAAAGAAAACAGACTTCTCTTTTCTTTGATGCGCAATAATTGCAAATCTTAGGAAGGAACATCAATTTAGAGTAGTTTTTCTCAATTTGTGCGCATCAAAGTTAAAAAGCTGAAGAAATTGATGAAGAAACTGCTCGCTGAAGATTTTGTTGTTGCTTGCTGCTTATTTCTCGAGCCTCCATGTTGTGAAAATGTAGCAGTTTTAAATTTTTTCTTACGAAACGGTATCACCTGATGATTTAAAGATCTTCAATGAGAAGTTTTGTTAATTTCTCGAATCTTCAAATTCAGATCTGAGGCAACTGGAAAGATTTGCACTTTGCAGCATTTTTTCTTAATTTTCGAGCTTGAAAGTTCAGAAAATGAAACCATTTAAACATTTTTATGAGGAAACTGCCTGCAGCAGACTAAATTGTTCTTCGTCGCTCATTTTTCGATTTATAATTGATAAAGAAAACGATTCCATTGTCGTGCACTACTCATTTTCTGGTCTCAATGTGGAGACACTGAAGAATCTGCATCCGCTGAAGATTTTAGATCGATTCTCCCAAGGCTCACCGTTCATAATCTGCACCCTCAATCTTTCATAGAAGAAAAAAGATTGCTTGAGGACTCAACTCATCAGGATCGAGTCAAGTTGGTCAATTCATTCATATTAGATTTGAATGGACGCCAATTTGTTTTAAATCATTTTTCGTTCAACTTGGTGCAATAATTGGAAATCTTATGAAGAAACTGGAATTTTAAAAGGGCATTGACGCTTACCTTAAGACATTGTAGTGGCAATGGCATCCTTTATGACCTGTTTTGTATGGTTCTGTTTAGAGCACGTATTGTTAATTAGTGTTTAGTGGCGAAAGGCTGGTTAGCTGAAGAAAAGTGGCCGCTGAGCCACTAGTATGTGTTGCAAGGCGCCACTTTATTTAGTCTGGGCGCAGCTTGTTATGCATAGATTTCTGACCCCGATGTCGGTGAGTAAATCGTCTTTTTTCCATATAAATATCCCCGATCTGATGTCGCCTAAAATGGAATTGGCGCAACCGTGTAGACGCAGCGTTGACATTGCAAATTTATCGATTTGGCTTCTGGGTGGAGGGCGCATATGTTTTCTAACGATCGTATTGCACACTTTGACTTTAATTGACGCTGTTTCGAATAGAAGGAAAAATTGCGATTGCCTGCGGCCGTATGTTGGCCAACGTTGATGGTGTTATTAAATTGATTTCACTTCATTGAGCGATTGCAGTTAATGGCATGTCGCGTCCAATAAAGCGAGCGGAGCTAACGAGTCACTTTATGCGCGACCACAATTGATTCAGGCGGAAGGTTTTCCTCGTCCTCCGCTCTGCCGGGGCAGCTTTTCTGCATATTAGTACAAATTACGGATCATAGTCGAGATGTGCCTGATGAGCCTAATCAAATAAACAACGAAGCCAATGCTCTTTGCTGGCGCCTTAAATGCCCTCGTAATAAGCTTTTATAAGGCGACCAATTAGTGCTGCGATGACATACAGGGAACTAATGAGCGCAATTAGTCTTGGCCGATTGATGGAAGGCACAAATTGCGTTCGTTTTTTCTTAGAGGGATTTTCGCTATGTTTTCGACCGGCGTCGGAAGAAATGAGTATCGTATTAACCGTATGATTCATTCCTTTCTCCTTCAGATGTTCGGCGAAACCTAAATAAAGACCCCGAGCGGATTCGTTGGCCTTTCGGTTCTGGGCCGTGACATCATCATCCTCATCATCATCCTCGACTTTATATGCGAGGCGAACCGGACGCGAAGAACCGGAGCAATGGCAAATTCAGTTATCCGGGCATTAGGGCCGACTCGGATGACACATTTTTACTAATAAAAACGTTAAAACGTGTGGGGAGAGAGTCTGGGATTTGCCGAGCAAACTCCTCATTGCTACAAATCTCAGATTATTTGGCGCTTTGAGTGTGATTGTGTCTTGATCTTGCAAGAAATGCGAGAACAAGACCAAGACCATGTCCTGCAAGACCTCGACTTTTGCAAAAGTCTTGCGAGAGCTTCGAAAAATATAGTTAGTATTTAATTAATATAATTTGGAAAAGAAAGTTAGTTAGTCGCAAGGGCCGATCCAGGGGGGGGGGCATGGGGGTCATGACCCCCCCCCATTCAGTTCTCTATCCAACGATGCTAAAACAAATTCTGTGGCTCGAATGGTTCTTGAGAAACTTCGAAAAAAACAGCGTCATGTTCAAGTGGATTTTGCAACTCAAAAAAAACGCAAATCTAAAACTTCTTGAATTCAAACATTTTTTGAGAAAACTGCCAACATTTCCTTATCGACGGTTCACTTGCTAAAAAGGCTATTTATTTCTCTCTAGAATGACCTACAAATGAGCGTTCTTGCTCATTTTGCCTCCGAGATATCAGCAAAAACGAGACGGAAAACACGAAATTTTGGCATAATCTTGCACCTAAGTGTCTGATATTGAAATTTCGCTTTCTGGGTCAAAAGCACTCGAGTTTCCTCACTCACGTTGTTGACTGAATCGACTTTTCAATTCTCTATCCAGCGATGCCAAAACAAATTCTGTGGCTCGAATGGTTCTTGAGAAACTTCGAAAAAAACAGCGTCATGTTCAAGTGGATTTTGCAACTAAAAAAAAACTACGCAAATCTAAAACTTCTTGAATTCAAGCATTTTTTGAGAAAACTGCCATCATTTTCTTATCGATGGTTTACTTTCTAAAAAGGCCATTTATTTCTGCCTAGAATGATGTACAAATGAGCGTTCTTGCTCATTTTGCCTCCGAAAAATGAGCAAAAACGGGACGGAAAACATGAAATTTTGGCATAATCTTGCACCGAAGTGTCTGATATTCAAATTTCGCTTTCTGAGTCAAACCACGTTACGACTGAAGCGAGTTTTCAGTTCTCTATCCAACGATACCAAAACGAATTCTGTGGCTCGAATGGTTCTTGAGAAACTTCGAAAAAAGCAGCGTCATGTTCAAGTGGATTTTGCAACTCATGAAAACATGAAATTTTGCAATAATCTTGCGCCACCCTTGCACAAAACGACGATAATTTTTCTAATTTCATAGACAACAGAAGACTGTATTTTTCTACATAACCCCCCCCCCTGAATTTAAAGCTGGATCCGCCCCTGGTTAGTCGTCAATATTGCCTAGATAATATTGGTTACTCATCGACGAACTTAGTGTTTGAGCCCCTTTTGTTTGTCCCACTACAAGGTGAGATTGTTTCATAGAGTACTCTTTTCGACTGTAGCTGAATATCTAAAGTCTGTACGCTATAACTTTGGTCGCACGTCATCAATCGTCGGTCCAGCGTTGTTGCCACGCTCGCCATAAATTATGTATATAAACATCAATACTATAAGCATTCTTAAATTGTCTCGCTTTACAACATAAGTGCACTTATTAAATAGCAAATAGTCTGAAATTTTGTATTGATTAGGATTATGTTTTAATTTAATTATTATTAAATTTATTTCGTCTAATTTTACAGCTATATAAAAGCAAGACATGCAAGAGTCTTGCTGCAAGACCAAGACCAAGACCAGGCAAGTCTTGGTGTTGATCTTGCCTTGCTCATCACTAGAAACGAAACTGATCAATCATCAAAGCATCAATCCAAGCAAGCATTCTACATTTGTAATTTCTGTGATCTTAAGGTCGCAAACAGATGCTACAATAATTTTCTTTCTTTTTTAATTGTACATGCTTTCCTGACTGTGTTTCAATTCCAAATCAAAATCAATTTCTGGGCTTCAGTCATTTATTGTCTATTTATCAATTGAAAACCGTTTCGGTGTTTTCCACCATCATCAGTTTCAATGTGTAGCGTTGTTGCTACTTTAAGCCTTGGCATATATTTCTTTTTTAAGCCTGCGTGCAAGCTGGCAACTACGCAATATGAAACTACGTTACTGCCAAAAAGCTTGAGGCAGATTTCCGCGCAGAGGCGTGGCTTAAAACACGCCCTAACCTTACCAAAACTTTACAAGTTTCGACTTTGAAGTCGCATTTCTGAGCAAAATCAATCAGAAAAATTATGCTTCGCACATTCTGCGAACATTTTAACCTACAAAAATATTTATTTGCATGTTGCAGGAATGGAGGCACTGGAGAATTGCATACGCTGTTGGGAGAACGCACTGTCGATCTACCGGGACAAAGACAGTGGCGGCGGCCAATTGGCGATGCTCAGCACGGAGGAAACCGGCTTCTGCAAAGATTTGCAGCTGCTTCTGGATTCAGCCATCGAGCTGCAGGTGAGACTGCGATCGGTTACCTGGCGGGCAGCACTGATGTTTCTTGCCCATGCAGGAAAATTCGGAAATCCTGTTCTTGGACGAGAGGTCGGTGCTTTTTCGTCCGGAGAGCGCACGCGACGTCAATGGTATGGACACGGACTTTTCTGGAGGAGAAAGCTTTGCTTCCGCCCAAGACCAGGTAAGGTCAAGAAGCTGAAAAGCGTCATAAAATGCCCAACATTTTGGTTTTTCTTCCATTTCCTAATAATTAATTATTCTAATAAAAACCGAGAAGCAAACAAGTGAAATTATTACTTATTATCACATCTAGGAATGTTTTCCGGGCTTTGAAGCCATGGTCTATGGGAATTTCTTCCTGACGTTTCGTCCACAACTGCGGTGGACATTATCAAAGGCGATGAGGCAGTGGGCGAAGTGATCTCCCGTGCTTTTCGACTGGTTTAAGACTGGTTCAACTGGTGGATTCCCCGTCGTATTTATGCAGCCCAGCTGTGTGTGCGCATGCGTGGTGGATGGGTGGGGGTTCAAATGCTTCGGCGCACACGCTGTTTGGCGCAAAACGCGCTTCCAATCTGCTTTGAGTGCCGTAATTTCTTTTTTTCTGCTAAAGTTGTTTTGGTGTTTAAATATTTCGATGGCCTCTCTGGTGAGTCTCGGGTAGTATCTTTCGGATTGGTGCAGAATGTCCACTTCGTCGAAGCGTATTTGGTCTGCTACTGCTGATTTTTCTGTTTGTCGGGAATTTTAAATTTTTAAAGGTACAAAATACCCCGGTTACCCAAATTTCGGTGTCTACACATGTTCTCTCGGTTATTAATGGTAATAGAAAATGTGCTGTTTACTCAACA